TCCATAGATTTCCTTGAAGAATAAGTTGAAATAAATCGATAAGAGATCAAAACATTTTCCTTTTGGTGATCATTTTAATTGTTCTCAGAACCTTTTCTCTTCATTGTGTATTGATGTTGTTGGGAGAAAATTGATGTTGGTCACTCTTGGGACTTAATGGATTAATACATATTATTATTCATTCAAAATATTTCCCCAATTCTGATCTTGGCTAAACGCACACGCATAATTCACAATAACCAGTTACTGATGACCAAATTTGGAAGAATTTTGTGTTTAACGAGGAAATGACGTCAAAAATGCAGCCTTCTACAGGTTAATGCACCGTTAACCGAGAAGACCTGGGGACGAGATTGAGTTGTTTTTGTTGTAAAAACTAAAAGGCGTGCGTGCATAATGTTCGATGGAATACTATTCCAGTCTGTTATGCAGCGATTGAAAAATGAAAATTTAAAGTAATTTGTACGTGCCTTCGTAGGTCTTATCTTGAAATTATGGTTCCTAAGCGTTTCGGCTTATACATTAAAGTCAAAAAACATATGAGGATCTATGTCACAGTGTCCGAAAATAATCTTGTACATCTGCACTAATTAAGAAGATAAACTTCCTTCGTAACTCAAGCGAAGGCCATTTCAGGACCCCAAGTCTCTCCTGATATTCTTTCTCTGATCCGCAAATGACTCGAGTGGCTCGCCTCTGTATTGACTCTATACTTTTGATGTGCTTCACTAAATACGGATTCCAGACCTGACAACCATATTCCAAAATTGGACGCACTAAGAACTTATATGCTGTCGAGACTGGACCAAAGGTTCCAATCAGATTGCAGGATTTAGAGGATTCCGCCCGCTCGCAGGCTTAGAAAAATACTCGAATAGACGCCGCCCTCAAATAGACGCCGCACTTGAGACTCAAAATATTAATAGACGCCGCCCCCGAATAGACGCCGCGTCTACGGTGCGGCGTTTATTTGAGGAAATAATGATTTATAATAATTATTAAAGAAAAGTCTATTTCAAGTTTAAACCAGCAATGGAAATTTATTTTCTTTTAGAAGAACATTTTTTTAGTTCAAAGTGACTGTACTTTTTTGCTCTTGTGTTAAGTTCTCTTTCAAGAATTTTTGCAACGCGTAATTCTGCTGTTAATGGGTACTACAAGGCCGACTTCTCTCTTTCTCTTTCCAGTGACTCGTGCACAAAGTTTGTTTTACTGTTACCTAGTAAAAAAGTTACCATATGTAGTACGATATTTATTACTAAATGAAGTGATTTTTGAATAAACGCCGCCCACGAATAGACGCCGCCCTCGAATAAACGCCGCAGCTGGATCGCGAAAAATTAAATAAACGCCGCGGCGTCTATTCGAGTAAATACGGTAATGTCTAATATTCAATTACGAGTTCACCGCTCAGGTAGAGAAACATATTGCGCTTGGCACCGTTTGGGAAGTGCGGTTCACAAACGAAGATTTTCATATCGATTTAAACCAAAAGCTCTAAGAAGAATGTCTCGAGCGTACAAAGGGGGGTTGAAGAAAGGGACATGACTGATATGGATGAAGAAAGAACTTGAAGAGAAACAAGATCCTCGTGTCAGAACTACCCCTTTTGGAAGAATCCTAAAGCTTCCAAACCGCTTTTATTGAAAACATGGCCTAATTAAATCCCAGTGAGTAGAGCGGTCGAGAAACTCAGAAGAACTCAAGGTAACAATATCTTCTCTTTTTAACCATCATATCTAGCTAGATTAGCTAATTTATTATTTATCGTTGTCAATTATCGCGTGCATTTCCACTGAACTTGATAGCCATATTTATAGGAATTAAGCACCATACAGAATTACATTTACTTTGGGAGCACCAGCAAGTGAGCGCTCGTTTTAATTTTGGAGCAAATCGAGCAAGTAAAATTTCGCGAGCAGTTAAAAATTTTAATGGACCCTAATTTAAGTTTTGACGTTAATGTCAAAATGCGACGGGTGGTATGGAACTGTTTACCGGTATAGTATAAATTACACCCCCGTTGTAGCTTAACCGCACTTAATACACTCGACTTTTCAGTAGACTTGCGATCCGCGAACAAGGCAGCGATCATGGGTGTTGTTCTTCACTACAGTATTTTCTTTATGCTGTACATNGTTGTCAATTATCGCGTGCATTTCCACTGAACTTGATAGCCATATTTATAGGAATTAAGCACCATACAGAATTACATTTACTTTGGGAGCACCAGCAAGTGAGCGCTCGTTTTAATTTTGGAGCAAATCGAGCAAGTAAAATTTCGCGAGCAGTTAAAAATTTTAATGGACCCTAATTTAAGTTTTGACGTTAATGTCAAAATGCGACGGGTGGTATGGAACTGTTTACCGGTATAGTATAAATTACACCCCCGTTGTAGCTTAACCGCACTTAATACACTCGACTTTTCAGTAGACTTGCGATCCGCGAACAAGGCAGCGATCATGGGTGTTGTTCTTCACTACAGTATTTTCTTTATGCTGTACATGCATTCTTTAAGAGTTTGCTTCGGTTGTTTGGATGGTAAGTTCTTCTTTTTCCGTCTTGTTGTTTCAATCATATTTGGCTCGCTAGTTCCAAAAACTGAGCGTCAAAATAGTGACAAACACATTTATGGCCTGAAAGGAGTAAAAAAAAATTAAAATTAGCTAGACCGACTGTAAAAATTGGAACAAAGAGTAGCTGCAAAATTTTCTGCTCTAATATACTGCCCATGAATATGACTTTTTTACGGCTTACGGTTAATTTCTCTTCTTTACAGTTGACAGACATATGCAAAAAAGTCACTTCACATGCCAGAAGTTCCGCAGAATTGATTTTCGTGGTTGCAAAATTTTTTAAGGCTCGTAGGACTCCGAGGATCGTAGTTCCCGGAGGGGAGAAAACGCAAAAAGTTCTAAACAAGCGTTTTCAAAACTCCATAAATGACAAATTTCGGTTGGGGACAGGCTTAATTTTTACACTGTTAACCTCTTTTTATAACTTCTAGCGATAAACCCCATCTTTGTAGGCTTTCTTTGTTTATTTAGCCTGTTACGTCTGGTCGCTGGCAAAATGATTGCTCTACAAGAATCTACAGTCACAGAAAAGAAAAGAGACTCTAGCTATTATTAGTGAGAAAAAAAAAAGCTGGTAACAATATCGGTGTGCTAGGAGCTTTGAGTTCCTCTTTCCCTCTTATTTCTTTTTGTTTCTTGTTAGTTCGACTTGTCACTTCCCTTCCGCAGGCCAAGGCTCCTTATTGTCTGTTCTTATTATCTTTATTTTTACTTTGGACCCCCTACCATGTTAACACTCTACGTTAATACGGCCCTAGTTGTACCCCTCTTTAGTTAAGTTGACGAATCCTTTTCTAGCTCGAAAATGTCCTGCCATTTCCTTATTCGAAAACCTCGTTCAATTTGACCACTTACTTTTATGGAGCTATATGGGTTGTACAACGGTGATTAATACGACCATATTTTTAAAGCCCAACGGTCATCATATTCACGCGAATTTTATTCTACTCAACTGTCCTTGTTTCCTTTGTGGTCCATTTAATATATATGTTTAAGACGTTCACTGAATGTTGGCATTTTTCAGAAAAAATATAAATGTACTCGTAGACGGTTAAGGCTAAATAAATGTTATTTATTTTGTCCTCTTTGGGCGTGAGCCAGTGTTAATTGCCATTATAGAAGTGTTCCTTTGAATTCAGAAAATCTATTTTATGTTTTATTCTATTTAATGCAAGGATTTGTTTATTCATTCAATCATGCAGCTTCTAAACAGACTGACTAAATAACATGGCAACCTAATGAATGTTGAATTAGAAGAAACAAGAACGCGCTTACAGTGGCATCAAGTCTCGCCTGAAAGGAGATTAGATCGAGAAATGAAGAGGCGATTAATTACATGATTTACTCGCTAAAGGTGGTTTACTTCCTACTTTATCGACGTCGATACTTTTTATTTGTTTCTGAATTGATTTAGTACGCGTGTTAGCGACAACCAAAAATACCTCTCCGGTAGCAGGCTATACGTATGCATAAATACACGAAAATTTAAGGGCCTCGAAAAAGTGATTTACATGCACGTCATTTCAATCATCGCCGAAAATAAATCGCATGCTCATCACAACACTCATTTGCATACAGTGAATTATGCAGTTGCCAGCGGACTCAACGAACAATATGGAAACCTATTTAAAAGTTAAATAACAGGAGACAAGTGTGAGAAAATTTTTAACAAAATTAATATAAAATTGAGTTTCGATGTTGTCACTGCGGATTAACCCTCACATCATAAACTGTTAACAAGGAGAAAGTTTCTAAGAAACAAAGAATTCTGTTATTTGCGTGATAAGGGAAAAATATTTTCACAATAAACACGACAGGTTACCACTTTTCAAGACAGGTGGCCATGGGCATATCATCTTCCTGTTTTCTTATTTTCAGCCTTTTCATCTGGCTTTTACAAATTTTAAAACGAGTCATCGTCTATTTTCCTTAAAAACGGGGTTTTCTTTATAGAGCTCGACCAATTGACAGAAAAATATTGGGTCTAGAGAGCTAACAATTATATCCATCTCCTTGTTGTCATTTTTTGATATACTTTGCTGTTTTAATAAGCCAGTTTGAAGAATAAAATATACTCATTTATAGAGCTCGACCAATTGACAGAAAAATATTGGGTCTAGAGAGCTAACAATTATATCCATCTCCTTGTTGTCATTTTTTGATATACTTTGCTGTTTTAATAAGCCAGTTTGAAGAATAAAATATACTCCCAGAAAGATCATCAGCGATTCCAAAAACCCAGCAAGTTTAATTAATATACATAGCAGTTTCATCAAATTTCAGATAAAACGTAGCTGAAAGAGCCGGAGTATAAACTAAAATATAAGTTTTTACGTTCCATGAACTTCAATCTTGTTTACAAAGGACAGTTGCTTTATATTTATCGAAGCTCTTTTTGTCGCCAAAAAAAGTCAGAATTGCTAAATGAATTTTTTTTCCTTTTTTAATTCAGATAATTGCCGCGTACTGGCGTTTCCGAGTTATTTCCTAATTGCTGACAAGTGTTTGGAGAGCCACACGATCTTAATTGTCCAACATGTCCAAGATATCGGTCTTTGTAAACTGCTTTGTTACAAGGAACCAAACTGCGTCAGTGTGAATTACGAGATACAAACACAAAAACGATGTGAACTGAACAATTCAACACACCGAGCGCACGATGCAGACTTTAAAGAGAGGGAAGGTTACTTATATCATGGAGCAACTGTAAGATTTTTGTGTTCTCTTTTCTTGTCTTTTTTTCTTTTATGATCTGCTTTCATCATCTTCAAGGCCATGGATCATTATCTCATCATAGTCATCATAATAACAAGGGACGGCATCTTCGTCATTAAGAGTGAACGTCTCTTTAAAAAAAGTTAACTCAGGCTGTTTCAAAATTCATCGCTCTTTTTCCATGTCGCGATTTCTCAAAATTGTTGGTGAATCAGTTCGGGTGTTAATTTCTAAAGGACTGTATCCAAGTTAAAAAAAAAAGAAAAAAGATATAGAAATCGTTGTCCAGAAACGTGAAATTAGGCAGGTCATGAAACGACACCAACGAAATGCACAATTAAGCTTAATCCAAGCGCAAAGTTTTTCTTTTTAAATTTGGTAAACTAAACCTATTTGCTTTTTCGACGTTTTCGTTGTTTAAGCTCCCTATTATCATCATCATCTTGGTAATAATTATCATTGTCATCATCATAATTCTCATCATTATCGTCATCTTCATCTTGTAGTTTATACTTGACGCTCGATCATGAAGGTTTGGCGTAACTTCTGCTACAAGTCAGACCTGATCTGATGATTTTTTTTTTCTTTAAAGAGTGCTTGTGATAATGCCCGTTGCTATAACAACAGTACCTGTCAGTCTGGATTCACAGAGAAAAAATATCGGTGTTTATGTCCTTCTGGTTTCACTGGTGAACACTGTGAGAATGGTAAGTTGTTCTTGAAAGTTTCTTTCTTTTTTCTTTTCATCCAGACCCTTAGATAAGTAGGGGCCCGGTCTCCAAAAACAAAATTCTTCAGCTTGGTCTAAAAATAGGGGGGAGGGGTGAGCCCCTTCCCTGGATCTGCCACTGCAAATCTCTATAAATTTGGGTAACACATTTCGGTGGATATCTCGTATACCAAACATTCCTCTGACCTGAATCTTGCTGAGGGTCTTTGCATTCTTTTCTTCGTTTATTTCCCAGATTCTATACTTTATCTCAGTGAACGGTTTTGAGTTTTATTTTGATCTGTTTTGAACGGCGTGACACTGAAAACCAGCAATACCTCTATGCTCTTTGCAAGGAAGTTCATTTGATTGAGCTCGCGAGGGGCGGGAAGACTTCCATAAAAAATGCTCGTCAGAAATTAGTATTTTAGGAAACTAACCGGGGCGTGGCCTTTTGCTCTTAGCTGTAATTGACCCCTTAAGAAGACCATGTATCAAGAAAGTATGACGGCATTTGATTTTTATATATATATATATATAGACATTTCTTTAGAAAAAACCCCAAACTCATCCTCTCTAGCCCTCAGCGATACCTTAATGGGTTAAGTGTGACCAAAATTGGTACGTTTTACCCCCAGGGGAAGCGACGAGCATCTACGTCACATTCATACGGGAGTCCCCCAACCCCCGGGCTCGAGCTTCTAAGTCTAATGGGAACCGATGAAATCGGGTTGTAGATATTTTTTGATAACTCACCGTGAACCCAGCTAAGGGCTAAATTCAGTTTTAACTAAATAAATTTTCGACGGAACATAAAGTTGTGATGACAAGAACAAGAATGTCAAATATCGAAACTGTGGGTCCAACCATAATCGTTTGCTGAAGATGTCAGAAGTCTTAATTTTCTCATAACTAATTAAGTTCATAAGTGAAGGTGAAAAACAAAAACAAAAACCAAAAAAAGCAATTCAACAATAAGTCAATGTCTTAACAGACAGAGAACCAGTCTATTTTTGCTTTGGATTCGACACCAGTGTTTTGGCTTGCTACTTATATGTTACTTATATGTTACTTATATGTTACTATCTTCCAGCAACCTCTTCTCTTGATTTCACTGTAATAAATTTGTTTCTGTTATTGATCAATATAATTTCAGACATCAATGAGTGCAAGGAAGGATCCCACAATTGCAGTTCTAATGCGGTTTGTAATAACAACTGCACATGTAAACCAGGATATGAAGGGGACGGAAATCATTGCACAGGTAATTTCTTTCTTAAGCTTGGTCATTTTGTATGCCTTCGAAGCATTGCTGCTTTTATTTTTCCGTAGTAAAATGATCTTTATAGCAATTACTTGTCAGATAGTTGACTATATCACCTCAGTCAAAATTTTAAGCGGAATGTTTTAAAACGCTTGGTACAGTGCGTACCTTGTATTTTCAATGTTTTGTCGACCTTCCCCCACAAGAATCTTCATTTTTAAAGGAGGTGAGATTTTAATGGAAGAAGAAGAAGTAGAAGGAAAAGGACGTCAATGACCGGCATCAGAAACTTTGCTTTTTTTCCTCGTGTATTTCTTTTCATACTACAAACTAAGCTTGCCATTGTTTAATATGATTTCAGACATCAATGAGTGTAATGCGGGAACTCACAATTGTAGTTCTAATGCGTTTTGTAATAACACCAAAGGATCCTACAACTGCTCTTGTAAGCCTGGATATAGGGGAGATGGATGGACCTGTACAGGTAAATGATGGTTTTGGAGAATGAAGAAAGGTATCGTGACAAACAGGTGATGGCTGCAGTAAAGTTGGAAGTAAGACAGCTCCTATGGAAATTATAAGTGCCAATAGGACCCTCGCTAACAAATAATTTTAAAAAAATGAAACTTCAGGCCAAGATAAGGTATAATAGACCTTGTCGCGGTTTTCGACGCCATCTTGACGAGTAGGCTAACGTGTGAGAAATTACAGTGTTTGTATGAGAATCTAATGTCGATTAATTTCCGTAAACGGCTGTTCTAAAACAAATGTCAATTGTAAACTAAGGCTACAAAGCAAAGGATTGTCTTAAAAAATTTGGGAGGCGTACCTGTGCTTAAATTTCTCCAGAGGCTTGCTTGAGATTTTCCATATATTTGTCTGTAATTTTCCCGTGACTTTCTTACAGACAATTGTATAGAAAATTTTTAAAAGTGGTTCTAGGTCTTCTAGTGCATGTAACGCCCTCAATATCTTTCAGTAGAATCCTTAGGAGTGAAGCTTTAGTTTACAAATCATATTTTTTTCAGAACAGCCGTTCTAGGGAAATTATTATTCGACATTTCATTCTCATACAAACGCTGTAATTTCTCACGCGTTTGCCGACTCTTGTGTCAAGATGGCGTCGAAAACCGAGACCGAGGCCGTGTTATCCCGTTTTCCTGTTCATCGGAATGGACATTTTGCCTTTACGTCCTAATTAGTACAACAGTCAATACAAAATGGCCACAACATGTTGGTCACATGATCAGTGTTCATGTGACCTAAAGTAGTCACCATTTGGCAAAGACAACGATGTTGATGCTGTCGAAACGTCTATTTAAAAAGATTCACCTTGTTTAATAAATCACTTTTTTTTTTTCAACATACACTCAGTGTAGCTAATATCGTTATCTTACTTCTTACAGCTTCAACGTGCAAGGACATTTATGTTTATGACAGGACTTTGTAAGTACAAGCGATAGAAAATAACTTGATAAAAAGACACTAAACCAAATTCTAAAATATATTTTTTAAAATCTCTGAGGGTTCCAAAATAAAATTGCTAAAATTTCTTCTTAATTTTCTCCACTAATTGGCAAGTTAAATACAGGAAAATCGGGGACGTCAACGTTGAGAAGATTATCTGGATTCAGAACAAAAAATGGAAATTGCTATAAAGTCAGTAAGAAAATAGCAACCTAATTAAAAAGAGGAAAATAGCAGTAAACCAAATACTTAAGCCATACTCGTGTTCAACACCGGAGGTCGAAAATAAAACAACAAAATAAAAAAGAAGGAAAGAAACTGAATGAGTTTATTCAGGAGTGTTCGCCACTGTGGTCAAGACAATTACAGCCTTTTTTGGAGTCAGTGAAATGTACTAAATCTCTGAACTATATATAAAAATTGGAGTTCCTGATGTTTAGATTAGACCCTGAACATATTACAGAATCACTGCGAATAAAACCATTTTCATAAGATTGTAAAAGGCAATCAGTGAAGAAAGTCGATTGTCTCCCATAGTGTCAAATGTGTGCGCGACATAAGCATGCAAGTTTCAAATGTCATCCCTTCACTTCTAACGACCCGTTCAATTAATCTCCTTCGTACATAATTTTTTTGTGAATAAAGGAGTTCTACCTACTTAGTATTCTAAAAAACCTTACCCAATAACGTAACTGTTACATAAAAACAAAATATGTGATACAAACCAGACGCACTTCTTTATTTATAGGGTTATATATATATCGCGCATTCCTAGCCTTTTTGCAGAACATTTTGCAACGTCGTTGCAGATTCTTCAGCTCAACTGCGGCGATCCCGACCCGACTCCAAAACATATTCCCATACCCATAACAAAGAAAACCACGCATAATTCTAGATTCGCCAGATTTCTTAAGAAACTAGTGTGCTCTAACAAAAAGGAGAAAAATAGCTATGTCATTTTGAATGAACTTAGCCATTTTGGTGGCTTGTTTGTTCAGGGCCAAAGAAAACAAAGCGTACTTGCTGGATGTTGGGTCTACCAAGGTTCCCGTATACTGTCACATGAGCGAGCATGGTCTTGATACATGCAGAGGAGGTGGATGGACGCTGGTCATGAAGATCAATGGCTCAAAGGTATTAAAAGTTAAATGTTCAAAAGCTGATTAACTACGTGGTCGCTCGTCAACAAGCTTTTTTATTACTCCCCCTGTTAAGGTAAACTTTTAATGCTAGATCAAAATGCAGACTAGTAGATGAAATATATATTCAGCTTGAGACAAAGTATGAACAAGGAAATGACAGCAGTAATAGACTAGACAAGTGAGCTAAGGCAAAGGCGTTCTTGAGGGACACACGTCAACTGGAAATGATACCTTTTCCCTTTTATTATGCCTTAACGCTACCAAATTTTTATTGCTTAGTGTGTTGACTCAAACAGAGACGGTTTGCCCGAAAATTTCGGCAAAACTACCGCCCAAGAATGCAAAACGTCAGGGGCACCCAACGAGAAGATAGTTCAAACCACTTAGACATAGTATTGTTAAACGTATTTTAGTATTTAAACGGTAGAAATAGGCATATTTTTATCACCTAGAAATTTTTCATCTGTTCGGATTTCCTAGCTGAAAGTCTAGTGATCCGAAAATTATAGGGATCAAAACTTACCTTTTCGAAAATTTCAGATAGAAAAAAGGCTCCCGAAAATTCTAGGTGACCTTTTAAGGGAAAAAATCCGTTAAAAATGGGCAATTATACCATTTTTTAGATGTTCAAAAATCCTAGGAGAGGCAGGCAAGCAAATTTTACAACAAATGTTCAGAAATTCTAGATTGCAAATCGTCATCCGAACAGATATTTTCCGAAAATTTTTGTTGGGTGCCCCTGAACGTCGCTCATCTTTGCTTAAACTCTCCAGTGAGACAGACCAACTGAAACGACTCGACCTAGCTTTCCGACCATATTTCAGTGCCCAAACATGTATAACAGCAAACTGATCAACTACTTTTTGTTCCAAATGCACCCAGAAAACGTTTTACTACAATTCCAGTCTCTGGAGGAACAAAGTCGACTTTAATCTTACAGGAGGGGAGACTGGGTTGGACACTCACGAGACCAAGTTACCGACTTATTGGAACACACCGTTTAACAAGATCTGTCTTGGAATGAAGGTCGATCAGCAGTTCAAGTCTGTTGTCATCAACTATCAAGCCAGATCCCTGTATTCACTGATCGCAGATAACATATACCGAAATACTTCACTGGGCCGTAACACGTGGAAGAAGCTCATTTGGTCTCAGGCCTCTTTGCAAACCAAATGTAACAAGGAAGGATTCAACGTTCTATGTCACGGCAGCAGCCCCTCCAAAGCGAGAATTGGTATCGTTGCTAACAATGAAGATGACTGTGAAAGCTGCGACTCCAGAATCGGGTTTGGCACTGGAGGGTATTATGATGATTCCAACACGTGTGGCAATGAAGCTACTTATGAAGCAGATAATGGCAACCGGCACATAAAAGCCATGGGATACATCTTGGTCCAATAATCGCGGTAATTCGCTGAGAAACTGCCTTCAAACCGCAGTCAAAAAGGCAGAAGTGGCCCTTAAAGACAACTAAGATACTTTTGATTGTTGTAATATGTGGTTTTAATCGAAGAAAGGATTGGCGCTGAAATAAAAAAGACTAAAAATAAAAGACTGTTCTTTGACTATCTTTCTCGACATCATTTCTAAAAGATGAAGGATCACCTCAGTTTAAAAGATGACTGTGCCTCCTCTTCCGGGTTTTATTTTTTGTGATTGACATGAGCACCTGACAAGGAGACACGAACATGTGTTTTTGAGTCTTGCGTTGACTTATTTAAGGGACTTGTCAGAAATTAGCAGGGGGAGGGGGGGGGGGGGGGAAAAAGAGGGAGGGTCACAACTTTTTGAGACTCAGAAAAGGGAGGGGTCATAAAAAATGGGCCGTTAACAGGGAGAGGGTCATGCAAATATACGCCCGTGATAATGTAGAGGTTCACCCACGGAAGAAAAATGAAGTTCTTTATTTGGTGAAAAAAAGAAAAAAAAACAAAAACGGAACAATATGGATATAAACTGTGAAGTACTATTGCAAGAATTTAACAAACATCTACTTTTCATTTATAACAATGCTATAGAGTCTTATTGCAATTATGAATAATGTTGTTATTAATGTTATTAGAAGTTTTTGCTTTTCATCACTGTCTTCAGCATCACCATCAATGCTGCTGTGAGCATCTTGATCAGCATCATTTATGTCATCAGCATTTTATTTTGTTTATTTAATTTGATTAGCCTCTCATTGATACAATCACTCTCATCATCATCATGATTTTCATTCAGGTTGAAGCGTAGATATTGCTTGATAATGTCCTGTGATTCATTGGTGAACAATCCCTTCTCAAAGGCATATTGGACATATGGCCTTTGTGATTTGAGGAGCCCACGTAGTCCTTCATAATGAAGAGATAATGGGCCAATAGGCTCTGTAACGTCATGTGACTCTTGCTTAGGTGCGATGGTTTCAATAACTCTTTTGCAGTCAGCTTCCATTCTTTTTGCCCTAGCTTTTTTGGCTTTCCTTTTATTTTGTTTTTGTTTCCTTTTTTTCTTGTTGGCTTGGAATACTGCACCTTAAAGAGCCTGGAACATTTATCTTTCAATTCTGTAATATAAGGTGGGGAGGTTCATGATCCTTTAGGCCAAGCTCAAGGGGAGGGTTAGCAAATTTCAGTCCCACTACAGGGATGGGTCACCTAATTTCCGAACCCAAATTTAAAATTCCCACCCCCTTCCCCCTGCTGATTCCTGACAAGTCCCTGTTGGCGTTTTGATAGTCGACTTGGTCCACTGAGGCGGGATATTTTGAGTGACTTTGAGAGCGAAAGTGTGAAAAACAAAGGCGTATAGTGTTATTCAGGGGCATCCAACGACTGTTTTCTGTAAAATATCTGTTCGGAGATGCAAATATTGCCTAGAACATTCTATTGCTTGAATACGGCTACAAATTTCTAGAAAAGCGTTCCATTCAGGTACAATTTTCGAAGCTTATCTAAAAAATTCCATACAATTTTCTGCAGTGTAATTTTTTCATCTTTTACTCCTTATGTTAGGTTAATTTTCGTACAAAAAGGAAACCTAAAATTTTCGGATTCAAAAATGAGATGGAAAGAAGAACAAGAAAAATTCTCACTTTCGTAAAACGTTTAACTGCATTTAAAATTTTCGGAGTTATACTACTACATGAGAAATTTCTGCAATTTGATTGCCTTAGAGCAGTGGTAATTCAGTTTAATTCGAAATACCTAGATGTGAAAATTACAAACCTTTTGTGGTTAGTAGTATAAACAAATAATAGCCTGATTTGTACGTGATATTTGGCATAAGTACCACTCGTGATATTTCCAAATTGTCACAAATTTCACTCGCCTAACGGCTCGTGAAAATTACGTATAACAAATTGGAAATATCACTCGTGGTATTTATGCCAAATATCACTTCAAATCATGCTATTACCTATACAAATAATTGTGAAACCTTCAGGACAGTCACATGCTGACAGAGTACCAGGCCATATGCAGTCGAGTCACCTCTCGGTTGGGCAGTCACTAACTGGTTACCCGGGAGCAAAGGTGGAATCACCATACAATGCGTTTAAAGTGTATGAAACAAGTGCTGGCGAAGAGGAGGAGTTGCAGCAGTTGCTTACTGCTCAGTCGGAGGTAGAGTCATTAGGTGTGGTGAAGCTAGCAGATCCCGTGCGTTCAATTGACGACAGACGATCGTTGGCCGTAATGGAGCGGACGACTAAGAAATTGGAGGTTGAAGACGCTTATGTGTCGGGGCTGCTTTGGCGTGAAGAAGACTCATCGCTTCCTAATAGCTATGACATGGCTGTGTGGAGACTTCAATCGTTACAGAAGAAGTTAAGTTTGAAAATGATCCCGAAATTAAGGAACGATATGCAAAGTCAATCCAGGATGACATTGAGAAGGGTTATGTGAGGAAACTAAGCGAAGAAGAAGTATGCACTGATAGCAAAGTGACCTGGTACTTACCACACCGTTTCTTTATCAATCCTAAGAAACCTAATCGTCTGAGGAGAGTATATGATGCATCAGCGAAATTCAGGGGTCAAAGTCTTAATGATAAAATGTACACGGGACCAGATTACTTGCCGTCGTTGTTTGGTGTTTTGCTTAGATTTTGCGCAGGAAGAATTGCATTAGCAGCAGACGTGCGAGAAATGTACCACATTACCTGAGAGTGATCAGCCAGCCATGAGGTTTCTTTGGAGAGAGTCACCGAGCGAAGAACAGAGTGTCTACCAGTTCCAGAGGACACTGTTTGTAGAAGTGTCGGCGCCATCACGTGCCAACTGTACAATGAGGCGGAATGCGGAAGAGAAGGGGGGAGATCTGCCTCTTGGAGTCAAAGCCGTCTACAGGTATTTTTATATGGACGATGGCCTACCGTCCAGCGACTCAAGAGAAGAAGCCATAGAAATGCGGAAACAAATGACGGAATTACTGCTTCGTGGAGGCTTCCACCTGCAAAAGTGGTTAACAAACGACCCTGAGGTATTAGCAACTATCCCGGTAGAGGATAGATCTCCACGTTTCCTTGAGTTGAGTGAAAATACAGTTACCAACAGACCGTGCACTGGGCGTTACGTGGGATGCTCAAGAAGATGTATTTATGTTCAATGCACTTAAACGAGAAGCAGCTACTACAAAGAGATCAATCTTAAGCCAAGCGTTCTCTGTGTGGGATCCTCGAGGACGTCTCCTCCCGTTTTCAATCAGAAGCAAGATTATCCTTCAAAATCTGAATCGCTTAAAGTACGGAAGGGATGATGAGTTAAAAGAAGCTGATCTTCGTGAGTGGCGCAAATGGTTTAAAGAATCAGAACTGCTTGAAATTGTGCAAATTCCGCAAGCACTATTCAGACGGAACGAGCCATTTCGAGAAACTAACCTGCATGTGTTTTGTGACGCGAGCCGAGATGCTTACGGAGCGTGTACGTACCTTAGACGAGAGTTTGAAGATAATGTAGTTGAATGCAGACTAGTCGCTGGGAAAGGTCGAGTTGCGCCTCTTAAGGCACAGTCTGTCTGTAGACTGAACTTATGGCCTGTAATGGGAGCTCTTAATGCTGCCCGTTTAGCTGAAACACTAGCGGTAGAGTTAATGACAAAGATAGAGAAGATAACCTTTTAGGGTGATTCTACCACCGTTCCTCATTGGATTCACCAAACGAACTACAACTACAAGGCGTTCGTTGGCAATGGAGTATCCGAGATTCACACAATCATGAGTAACCTGGAGACTGCACTAGGGGCGGGTGCGGTGAATTGGAGATACGTATCGACAGGTGATAATCCTGCAGATGATATCACCCGGCGACTCCACCCTGTAGAACTGAACGTGAATAATCGCTACAGCGCTGGGCCGGAGTTCCTCTACAAATCAGCCGAGTTGACGAGAAGAAGACAAGAGAGAAAGGAAAAGGCTAAGATGGGTTGGAGTTTCCCAGGAAAGTGAGCCTGTGTTGGGATGGAAAAAATATCCGTCCCTAGCTAAACTAAGAAGGGTGCTGGCGTACATGATGCGATTTGTAAACAATACAAGAGTAAAGAAAGAACTGCGTCAGTCGGGATCGCTGACAGCAACAGAGTTAAGAGCTGCTCAGAGCCACCCTCGTTTTTTGGCGAGGAGATAAGGTGCCTGGAAAATGGTCAGGAGGTTCATAAGCGGAGCAGAATCAAGTCTCTTGATCCGAGAATGGAAGGTGGATTTCTAGTAGTAGGTGGAAGGTTGCAAAAAAAACCCAAGCCCTCCCTTACAAGACACGACACCCGAAGATAATTGACTCACATCATGAGCTTGCGTAGCAGATCATTGTAACTACCACCATCCACAACCAAACAACCACGAGGAATATGGCCTTTGGGTAGGATTGTGTCTACTCATCCTGGACAAGACGGTATGGTCAATGCAGTCACAGTGCGTACTCAATACGGGGAGTACAAGAGACCAATCACAAAACTGTGTTTCTTAGAGGAAGCGGACACCTAGGTTTAGAAACTGTAAGTCGTTTTGACTTTGTGTCCCGACTAGGGGCGGGAATAAGCCTCCGCTTCCGGTTTGTATGATTGACCTGAGACACAAATGTGTTTTTGTGTCTTGCAATGAGTTAACAGTGTTCGCGTTTTGATAGTCGACTTCTCAACAATAACTGAGCAGTCCCAATCAAAGAGTACCGACCGTGACGAAGTAATCGACAAGAGACGTGGGCAGTATGATATTCATCCCTGGGTATTGTTATTAATGACATTATAAAAAGACATGGAGAATCAATCTGACCTGAGACAAGCCCAGGACAGACTGAATTAAAATTAGGTAATCTGGAACCCGACTTACTCGATTAGGAGGACGTATGGGTCGCCAATCGCCCTTCGTGTCGGAAAAAGTGAAGTGAATGGGACAAAGCGCAGGGTGTCCAGCGGCATGGTTGTTCAAAAAAATAGGAAAATAGGAAACCCAGGATTGAGAAAATAGGAAAAATAGGAAACTTTGTATCAAAAAGTAGGAGAAAAATAGGAAAATCAATAGTAATTTTGTCGACAAACATAGCCTCCCTGCACCCCATCAGGGTTATAACAAAGGCTAAGAGTCTTCGGATTCTATGTTACTTTGCAGGATTTAGGTCAACCTTCACGGCTAGGATTAGTTTCTTGGCTCAGTTACCCTGTAATCAGAGTGATGTGCTTGACCACAGGTCGAGCGTGGTTCTATAATCAAAGGTGATCATATGAAAATTCCCTTCAAGTTGACGGCAAATATTTGAAACGCTTTGAAGAGTATAATTTCTTAGGATAGAAATTCCTTACGATTGAGTTGTCATTGAAGGATATCGAACTAGGACTTAAAAGTCCTATGGAAAGCTTTCCTTCCATTAATCTGCAATCAGTAGCTGGTTGATAATATACTTTTTTGAGAAAAGACCGCATAATTTTAAGTACGGAAACGGGCTTTCTGCTATGTATACAAAACGACAGTGATGTATTTGGTACCAGGTTGTAGGTGTGTCATGATTAAGTTCTAAGAAGAACATAACACTCGGCTTAGCTGTGACTGCAAGATCGGTTTCGCAACCAAAATATTAGATCCTTCATCAGTTGCTTAGGCCGGTATATAGCTGTTAACAAGGGCTCACCAAGAGAGCAAGTGCCGTAAACTAAATTTTAGTATGTTCTTTTCATGTAGCATCCAGAATAAGCTAGTGACTGGTTTTAAAACAAGAAGCTGATTGGATAATTTATCTGGCCTGTGTTGTGAGAGGACAACTTGATCCTCTTTTCAGTTTCAAAGATGAACATAAAAGCGAGCAAGACTTAAAAATAAAATATAACATGTACAGATACTGAAATGCAGTTTCAGAGGGCTATGCACAATATTATTCAACACAAAAAGTAACAATATAGAGAAAAATGTTAACAGAACTCTAATAGGCAATAGAGGTCATGGAAAGATCAAACGCAACTGTCATTTTTACTAATAAGTCAACATACTACTATAATTCCATTTTCAATTTTGTTACAAATTTTGGCTTCACCAGCAGCTAAAAAATAGGAAAAATAGGAGGTTTTAGTTTAAAAATAGGAGAAAATAGGAATAGGCTCAAAAAATAGGAAAAAATAGGAACTGGACACCCTGAAAGCGTGCCAATGTTTCACTTTTTATATCATTAATTAACTGTGAAGAGACCTAATTTTAGTAAGTTTATACCATGGAATGTTAAAATTCAAGGTTTTTATCGACTGGACCAGAATGTGCATCGATATGGGACTTATCCATGATTCTGACCACTGACTCGCTTCTATCAAATTTTAAGCCGTTTGAAATAAGCTTCAAATAATTTATAAGCGGAGCCTCGAACTACGTTACAATAACTAAGCGGTAGAAAGGATTAGCGAATGGTGTAATGCTCGTGGTGAGGATTTTGACGATAAATAGAAGCTTAATTTGTGAATTATTCCAACAGACCTATAAGCTCTTATAACTGACCACATGAAACGAACTTTCGGTTTCCAGGTAAACTTTTCGGCAATTTTCACTTCATCTTTTTTTGGTTTTAACAATTTATTCAATTCAGTAGTCAATAGATCAACCAAACAACTCTATATTTGCTAGACAGAACGAAAAACAATGGTATCAACAGCAAATAAAATCAGTTGTAGTATCATAGTTGATAAGGTGAAATGGTTATCAAGCCTATCAGATCTCTTTGTTATACATGTATCCTTGGACTTAACGGCTCACAACATTTAAGAGCAACCAATAAAAACGTTGCATTAATTTATTCAGTCACAATTAATGAAAAAACAACAAAGGATTGTGCATTGTCAGGATGTAAGGATCCTTACATAGGTAAACTGCAGCACTTTGTTTTTATCTTTGATAATTGCTGACTTTAATTTCATAACCAGTCTCCTCCACTGATCTCATAACGCAGATGAATTGTTTCTATCATTGATGTAAAGCAGAAAATTAGAAAATTGAAGTATCACGAGAATACGCTCATTTGTGTCAAAAAAAAAATGTTCAGGGTACATCACCACGAAAAACAGACGTCAGCCGAAAAAACTCAGCGAGCAAACTGGAAAACATCCATATTTTGCCTTGGTACTGGGATGACACGCTCTAGATCTCTTGTACGTGTTGGATGGTATTTTCAAATATGGTTGCATTAGAAGCACAGTGATTCCGAGCCTGCGAATACGACTGCCTTTCAATACTCCCTGCCGTTGGGGTCGTGCTCACATGGTGCGGAGCAAGTTCAATCGTACGCAGGGTACTATTCACATCATAGACAGCCTTAGTGACCACATGCAGTACCTGAGGTCCCTGAGCCATTAGACGGGCTTCATTTACAACCGCTGATGACTGTCTAAAAGATTTTTTTTTGCTGCTTTTCCTGGCAGGTTACCACAGGAGCCGATTTACTTGCTTCTTTAAAATGCCAGCCCTCCTTGAGGGAAGAAGACATGAACGGGAGTATGGCCTGCATGGCAGGCGCCGGATTAGGGGCGAAGGACGCGCGTTCCCCTCGGGCGGCCTGTTAAATAATTAATAACCGGCGACTGCAACGCAGGCTAAAGGGAGTACAAGTACTACAAAAAAAAAAAAACACTAAAAAAACAGGTCAGTTGTACACTTTCAGCTTAATATTTTATTATGCAAACTTAAAAAAGAAATTTACATGCTTATGAAATTTAAACAGTGGGAGACAGAAGTGCGACTATAAAAATGTCGCTTGACTATTTAGTCTCGCTTGCGTAAGCAGCAAGACTCACTCTGCAATGCGTGTTTCTTCGTATTGAGGACACAAAAGGGATTCATTGTGCCAGGCGTTCCTTGCGGAGGCCGTGGAAACTGGGAATAAGAATCGTTGCGTGGTCGAAGCCTTCACAGCGGTCAAACGAGTGAAATTTGCAAAAGTTAAGCGAAATACTTCAAAGTTAAGGTTGCTACTTTCACTATCGAAAGTTTAGGGTATTACCAACATCCTGTTAGTTTACTAAACTTTTTAAAAGGAAAGATAGTTATGTTGACTAACTGATTTATACATCTTTGCCCATTTTTCTCTAACTGGTAAATGAAATCCCAGCAATAAAAAACAAAAATAACGATTTGGACGTTTGACCGCGGTGGTGGTCGAAGCCACGTATGTTTTGCGAAGAAAGCTTAGGAAAGATTAAATTTAGAGCTTTTCCGAAACGTGTCGGTGCACGAATTCCATCGCTTCAAAGCGTTGACTACTTTGAAACAAGTGAACACTACTGAGTTGTCGAAACAAAATAAGAACCTTAATTAGCAAAACTGCTATGGTCGGGTGTTGTAAACTTTCATTGTATGCAAATGGGTCTTGTGATGAGCATGCCGTTTATTTTCAGCGATGATTGAAACGACGTGCCATGTAAATCACTTTTGATATCTGGCAATGACGTAATTTCTCTGGAATCGAGGCCCTTGAATTTTCGTGTATAGAGTATAGGGTATAGAGCATAGAGTGTTTTCACTCAAGTGGCCAGCATCTATGCAAATTTATTGGAACAAAAGAAAACGTTTGCATGAAAAGATTTCACCTCTCCAAGATTGGTTTGGGACACCAAGATGGCCGCCGTTTCATTGTTGACACCAATATGGCCGCCGTTAAGTCATGTGAAAACACTCTATAGCCTGCGACCGTGGACGAATTTCCGGTCGTCGCTAACACGCGTACTAAATCACTTCAGAAACAAATAAAATAAAGCAAGAAGTAAAAAAGCCTTTCAAAAGTAAATCCTGTTTCGTGTAGAATTAATCGCCTCCTCATTTCTCGATCTAATCTCCAAGCGAGACTAAAAGTCGCAAAAAGAGCGTTCTTTTTCCTTCAAAATCTGTCTCTGTAAATGCATACAATCATAAATCTTAAAAGATCCTGAAAAATGAATACTTTACTACTAGATTGCTGTTAGGAAAAAAAAACTTCGACAATTTCTTAACATCAATCATTATTTTAGTCCTCTTTCACTATAGGCACAGCAAATGCGCAATCCTGTTCAATTGCCAGGTTGTAATCGTCTCCCTTTCCACCTTTGTATGCGCTGGTGACGATCCTCAGCCAACCCTCCTCCCCCCACGGGACACCCCAGGAGTTGCGCACAATCCAGTACTCTGTTCCATTCTCCACACCCCAGCCAGCAACAGATACAATGTGGTTGATCATAGGGGAAGGGTTATATTCAGTGTAGATACCTCCTTCGTATGCCTCAAGTTTCGGAGTGGCCATTATGCCACATGCAATAGGACCTCTGGCATAGATTTCGGCCATCATTTTATCACGTCCACTAACATTACCTGCAAGACAATACAAGAGGGATTTCTTGAAACTAAAATAACAGAAATGTTCGAATTAGCACCCCTTAACGCTAAAAGTAATAGATAAGCTCCAGCCACCCACCCCCACTTAACATCTAGAAAAATTTGATAAGAGTAGAACTGAGAACGCAACACAATCACCACTACAAACACCCGTCCAAGCTGAATATCATACCGTATACAACACATGATATAGCAGTATTAAACATATTGTACCAATTTGAGGTCAGACACCTCTGACAACATAGCCTTACCCAGCCAGCAGAGGTTTCTCTCTTGCATGGCTTTAACCCTTTAAGTCCCAGTAGTGACCAACATCAATTTTCTCCTAACAATATCCATAGATTGTCAAGAGATAAGTTATGAGAATTAATAAAATGATCACAAAGAGAAAAATCTCTGATCTTTTATCAATTTCTCCCAACTAATTCTGTAAGGAAATGTATAGAGATCAGTTTGGAGAATTTGTTTGTGGATATTGGGGCTTAAAGGGTTAACTGTTTATGGCCTTTACCTTTAACCTTTAAGGAGTCATTCCCGTGGCTTGTCTGTTGCCTAGTTGGCGAATGACTTAGTAAACACTAAAAACCATGCAAGAGAGAAACCTCTGATCGCAGGGAAACATAGCCTTGCCAGGGTTTCAGATACATGGGGAGGTTAGGAAAAACTGATGTGTGATTTGCGCACCAGTATTGAACCAGTAACTGCACATGATTATCTTATAGCCTGAAGCAGGGTATAATATGTTGGAGCCTGGGACAGGCTACTGATAAATGTATCTGCAGCACACACACAACTTTGCCTGTTTACTAAAATTAATGTGAAGAATGAACTATGTGCCCCCTTTTCAAATAACTACCCCCCCTGTGACATTACTCGATTGTCTGTTGTTTTTCAATCTATCATGTTGCTGGACTTTGCCTTCCTGGCCAACTCTTTAACTTTTACAGTGAAAGATTGGTTGACTGGGGTAACTTGGAAATTGCCTATTTCAACTGACCTGCAAAGGGCTGTCACCAAGATTTCAAGGCACTGGGTAAAGGCAGGGTATTAACCAGCTACACATGTATGAAGCTCTTTTGGAACTCTTTAGTTTCCTATTTGAAAATAGCTAGGGGTCATGCCCATACAGACTGTAACAGTGCCCGTGCCCTAGTGGCAGCCCTGAATGAAACATTAATGTCTAATGATAATTTAAAGTCAGCACTGCCTCTTACCATACTCGCTGACCTTCCATTTTGTATAATTGGTAATAGGATGACACTCTCCAAATGTGGTGCACGTGCCACACTGATTGAATGCCGTGCACTCTCCATCTTTGGCTTGATAATTATTGCAGGTTTCACTAGGTATACCTTTCTCATGAGCATATTTATATACACCAATCATTCCACCTCCATGGCAGGTCCCTGCATTACCTGTTGTAATAAAGCATATCATTCATAAGCACTGGTATCTACGTGGCATTACTAAACTTTGCTGCAATTTAGAAAACTACAAACATGAGAAATATTTAAGTCAATCATGTGTAAGAAAACTGAATTGCAGGCAACAACTTAAAAAAATTTACAACCAGTTTATAATAATTATTTATTTGTGGTTCCCTTGCATGTCTTCATCTGTGTTGTGACTGATCACAACACCACAATATTCCAGAAGTAATTCTGGCTTCTACAAGTTTCTCATTTTAACAGAAGCAGGAATCAAAATGTCTAGAGATAAAGGCTGTAAGCTGAAAAAAAAATTTTAATTAGTCCTTATAATCTTTATGGAAAACATGTCAACATGTGGCACCCAGTGCTGCTGTAAATGTACAAAATTGCATGTGCAAGTACATGTATACAGAAACACCTGTATAAGTAAGCCACCTCTCCTGGTCCACGATAAGGCAGAAAACTCCCTGCCTCCTATATAACTCAACAAAATTCCGAGTAATGGTAAAACAGTATTTTGAGCTTTTCTGTGGTATTGTCAGGCATGTAGCCCTAATTTGCAGAAATCGCAAAACAGGCTATGCTTTTAAAGTTCAGATTACAACTTCTGCAGCTTTTGTGTTTTTCATCACTGTCAAACACTACTTTCATTGTTGCAGCCACAGGTGTGATTGTTGATTAGTTCTATGTTCTACCACAACTATAAATTTTCAAGGGTTTGGGGGCCTGGTTGATTCATGTGTGTAACTGGGGTGGGGTAAGAGGACCAGGGGACAGGGGAGGCATGGCAAAGGGACAGTTTAAAGATTTTACATATCCAAACACTGGCATAACAGTTCTGCTACCTTAATTTATCAATGTCACGATGATAAAGCTTTCTTACCACAGTCCAAGACATTCTGCACTGATAAGAGATTGCTTGGCCACTTTCCATTCCTAAGGATGTTGATTCTGTCAGACATGGCACTAGTTGTCCCATGAGCCCAGCAAGAACCGCAGTATTGAGGAATGTGTTGATTCCGTGTCACACTAGCAAAGTTTCCCTTGCCTGGGACAGACCTCCAATCAAGCTCCTTTGGCATGTCTTCAGGGTCCAGATATGAATGAGGGCGCGGAGTTTTGCTGTAGCATACAAGTTAGATAAATATGTAAGTTGCACAGATAAAAAAGAATATTTTTATTAGTTGCCTGAGAATGCAGGTGTATGTATAATGCACATGTATGCAGTCTTAAATAAATGAAAAAATTTTCACGTTTTCTATGGAAGCTCACCCTTCCCCCCATCCTAGAAACAAAATGTCCCTGGGTATAATTTGTTCCAAAATGCAGAATTTAAAGCAAATTTTTCAATAAACATTTGAAGAAAATGTTAACTGAGTCATGTGTCATGTTTTTTTCGCCGTCCCATGCTGTTTTAAGCGCTATTTTGCGACATGAATATTTGACCTCCGTGGTTAGAACTAAAGAAGGAGACAAGGCAGGCAGCAAACAGCCGCAGGGGCATGACCCAGTCCAATTTAAGCTGGAACTGAGGCCAAACTATTTAATATCTTACCTCGAAAATACCAAAATTTCTCAAAAAAAGTGGTCCTGAGGTTGCAAGACCAGCTTTCTCAACATGACCGGTGTAAAAATCTCAGCCAAAGGCATTTGAGGCGCGCACGTCAATTCAAATCCACCAATCAGCGAATCGCAACCAAACAAACATCTGTGTGGGTCAGGGTTGTGGTTTTGAACTGCCAATGGTCGCAATACACTGACTGGTGGATTTGAATTGACGCGCATACCTCAAATGCCTTTGGTTGAGATTTTTGCACCGGTCATGTTGAGAAAGCTGGTCTTGCAACTTCAGGATCGCTTTTCTCGAGAAATTTTGGAAGGATTGAGCTCTCATTCGGATGGGGCATGGATACATATCTAGTGGATCGTGAGCCAGTATTTTCGAGGTTAGAAATTAAATAGTTTGGCATCAGTTCCAGCTTAAATTGGACTGGGTCTTCTATAAATAACAAAAAATCGTTGCTCAGATTTCAATCAACAACGGCCCCCACAAACAGNATCGCAACCAAACAAACATCTGTGTGGGTCAGGGTTGTGGTTTTGAACTGCCAATGGTCGCAATACACTGACTGGTGGATTTGAATTGACGCGCATACCTCAAATGCCTTTGGTTGAGATTTTTGCACCGGTCATGTTGAGAAAGCTGGTCTTGCAACTTCAGGATCGCTTTTCTCGAGAAATTTTGGAAGGATTGAGCTCTCATTCGGATGGGGCATGGATACATATCTAGTGGATCGTGAGCCAGTATTTTCGAGGTTAGAAATTAAATAGTTTGGCATCAGTTCCAGCTTAAATTGGACTGGGTCTTCTATAAATAACAAAAAATCGTTGCTCAGATTTCAATCAACAACGGCCCCCACAAACAGAGTGTGGTCTGCCTGTACTAAAATATTTAATGTTTAGTTTCAGACTTCTGGATTAGTTTGGTAATAAGTTGCCCACTATTCTGTGGTTTAGCCCAGGTCTGGAAGATGTACCAGAAACATCTATAACGAAAGAGTTTGAGAGAAAAAAGTGAAATCAAACTACAGCGTGAAAGCTTATTCGCGGATTGAAATTTGCTTAGTCACCGGTTGCATAACAAGCTTCCGTTTCTTTTTTTTAACTCCATGATCTCAAATAACAATCATTAGACTCCTTATACTTTGGTCAGATTTCCGTAAAGCCCCATATATCTATCATGCATGTACCAATCTAATGCTATTTCACGCAAAGGACTAGTCGAAACAGGCATACATAATAAATATTGGGGCTAGGCGGAAATCGAGCTGCAATACTTCAACGTACACTCGTACTCGCGTTAATAAGTGTGGGGATGTTAACTTGGCTTCATACTGAACAGAAAAGATTTACGGAGGACGAACAGTACAGTGGCCTCAATGAAAAATATTTCCTTGAAGCGACTCAAAGTTTTCTGAAGGGCATTCATTTCGTGGTGCAGTCAAACAGAAACGAAAGAAAAAAACTTTGCAGCGAAACGACCAGACACCGTTCGATCGCTTGAAAAATTACAGTAATCACTGCACTGGTACACTGGTAAACACACTGAACAATACCCACAGTAAAGCACAAAAGCGAACAAAGGACGTTTTCCGCAATACCAAGAAGCAGCACCCAAGATTTCACTTACATAACTTCCTTTCTTCCTTTGTCGAATTCCGGATTGTAGCAACCTTTGTTGATGCGGCTGTTGGGTTTGATGTCCGGGAACTTTAAAGCCAAGGACAACCCAAGGACATTTAAGAGTAGCACAAACACAAACTTCATTGTCAGAAGAATGGAAGGCATGGAAACTGAATAAACACCTGGAAAAGAAATGCGAGCTTTCCGTGGAACCGGCGGCTTTTTGTTTTGTCAACTCGCGTGAAAGTCATAAGATTTACCACGTGATAAAATTCGTTCCCAGGGTACAGAAGGTATTTTACGGTCAATATGGCGGCGGCTTCCTGTTCCTGAAGAGAAGTATTTTAAAAAAAGTCAGTCATTGAACGTTGCAATATTCTGTACATTCTGTTCTGTGCAAGGGATTTATTCGTGCACAGAAGTATCGTTATAGCAGGGATCTAAAGTAATACATGTATCTCGTTCCTTAAAAACGGGGGCTAATTGTTAGTGTCGTATTTACAAAGTCAGGTGACACTACGGACACTACTGACATTTACAGCTCACTGACAGGAAAAGCTGCGTTCCAGCTGGGAAGGTGTCTGTGAGGACATGCACGACAGTTCGTGGTGGAGGGGGCGGTTTTCTACAAATGCTGCTTGGCTTTTATTTCTCAAAGGAAAATCTACAAATGTAAGCGCAAAAAGGGTGATCTGGGTCAGCAGTGGTTAGCACCCATATTCTACAGACAGTTCGACCTGCTTTTCTGCCATCTCAAGTTTCTAAATTTCACTGCAAAAAGATGAAAGCTCTTTTGATTATTAGCTCTTTGCCAGACATTATTTTTATTCATGCTGACAAAGGATTTGTCAAACACATTAACAAGTTGTCACGCGAGGCTGGTTTTATAGGTGAAGACCACAATGAAGATGAAATGGACACTACGGCATTATCTCAAATATTTTCACCAATGATCACCTCACTCACTTACATGAATGAACTGGGAAACCCTTATTCATCCATCTTGTGTGAAGATGGCACATTGTTTGTCTTCAGGCAGGTGAGTGTAAGGATCCCAGGGGCCCCACTCACATATTTTAATGACAGGGGGGGGTCCGAAGGATTTTTTGGGGTCTGACATTTTGGACAAAAGAGATTTTTTTGGGTCGCAAAAACAACAGAGGGATTTTTATGGGTATTGTATTTTTCATCAGCTCAAATCAAAAATAACATAAGCGCAATTTATAGTTTTGTTTTTGACCAAAACCAAAGTTGAAGTTGGCATGTTTTAGCTTTCCAGAAGATAAATAATAAAATTTGCTGATGCAAAAACACTGAGGAATTTTTTTGGGTGTGCTAAAAAAAGTAGGGATTTTTTGGGGTAGACAAATTCTGAAGTTGGGATTTCTTTGGGTATAAAATATGAACCTCTGTCAGACCCCCCCCCGTCATTAAAATATGTGAGTGGGGCCCCTGGGGTAAGGATAGGCTCGATTTTTGCTATTCTCTGGGTCCTCCCCAGAAGAGAGCTGGGGAGGAACACAGGGGTATAAAAATATTTTAGTTGGAGTTTTTATATTGGTGTAGGAGAACACAGATTTATTACCAACACAGGCTTATTTCCTGAACAGCAGCTGGTAATCAAGCTTTTTACTTCTATCATCTACTTTTTGCCTCTTTTTTTTTCCTTCTTCCCCCCGCCCCTGGCCCAATGTCAAGAAAAAGCGTTACTGTTTGTGCAGTGATTCTTCTGTTATATTCCAACATTGAATTGGGGGATGTGGGACAATTAGCAAAAGAGAAAAATCTCCGTTTTGTGGATTAAAATGGACTACTGTTAAGTTGTACAGGCCCTGTGTACAACCTTCTCAACTACTTTTATTTGGGATGATAGGTTGAAAAAAATTAACCTGAATTAAATTTTGACCTGTCACACATACATTGTAATCCTTAAATGACTGTGAACGTAAAGGATTTATTTGTATGGGAATTTTTGTAACATTTAACCCCAAGTTTCCAAAATGGAAATCGCTTCAATCTCAGAAGATCAAAAAATAACTACACAGGGAGCAAGAACAAACTAAAGTAAATAAGGTAAACTCCAGCTCAGCTAGTATTTATCTTCTTGAATCTATTGCCTGAATCCTCATACAAATCCTTTATGTTCACCGCCATTTGAGAATTATGCAATAAATTATTATACCACATGGATTAATCATAATTTATATACATTTGTAATTGAAGTCTCATACTGAGCTTGGGCTGCCTGTGGTTAAACTTAAAGATACATGTACAGAGCAGGCCAGCTATACACTGTCTCAGTATCTTGCCTTTGGCACTGATAAAGAGAGTTTGTTTAAGAAGAGCTAGTCAGCTTATTTTTATCTCAGTCTCAGTATTTTAGTCACTTTGTCATTGGTCCCAAGGCTTCAACTGTTAAGTACTGCTTGTCTTCATAAGACAATCTTAAAGGCCTTGCTTATGTCAGTTAGGGGTGTGTTTGCTCAGGACCCAGCTAGAGGCGTGAGGCTTTTGTGCCAGTGTTTTGAGTAAACAGTCACTTTTACCCTGCATGTTGAAACCTGCCATAGTGCTTTAGTTCTTTCTCACTATTATTTGTATGTTATGAATTCTAGTTTGATGACATGGTTTTCACAGCAGTTAATGGTGATGGAGAAGAATCAGAGGATTTTCTGAAGAGAAAGCTATCAGTCCTATTCAAGTTGGCTACTCTGCATTATGGACCATGCCTTGAACTATTAAAACCAGAAATACTATCAGCCCAGAAAAAAGCCTGGAAAACTCTGGGTGGTTTGATTGACACATGGGGATTTCTTTCCTCGCAACAACAGAGTTTCTTAGTTGAAGCTGTTGAACGAATTCATGTGAATCAAACGTTAAGTGAAATGAGTATTAGGCTTCTGGATACTACACTTAACCTGGCTAGAACTAAAGGTGAACAGAATGTGCTTCATGCTCTTCTGCTTGTCAACACCAAGCTTCTTGCTCTCTATTCCAGGTAATATGACTGTATACGGTGCTTTTTAGTTTTGTACTTTAAACTTATGTGCATGTTAATATTATTGCTGATGTCCCATTTGTGGGAGGGGTCCAGCAGGCAAGGCACTATGTCTATCAGAATAATATTTTTTAAGTCGTTTGACTCATTATGGTGTGAGTGTGAACCAGATCCTTCTTTCTCATTTAAATGTATAAAGTAGAATCCTAATTCAGATTCAATCTGAGTTCTCTTTCCCCAGTCAAACACTGTAATATTATTATTTTGCTCACAGTTCTTTTGAGCCTCCAGATAATTTGAACTAATGATTTCTCTATGTTGTGGTTCATTGTGGTTCTCAGTGTAAATTTCATTCATCCCTTTGTTGGGTATGGAAATCAGATGGAGTGATGATTGCACAATGATAAGTCAAAGGCAATAAGAGGAAAATAAGATTTGCACCAAAGACTAATTCAGTGGCAAAATATATATGTATTGCTTAAGATTGAGGGAAGGGTTTATGAAATTTGTCCTTCAACAAACTGCAATGTAGCAAAATATTCATTCAGAGAAAAAAATAGCAACACATGGACTGTCTGTTTGTATCTCGAACCATTTCAAAGCAACTTTAGCAAGTTTTAGATTTCAAGTTGCTCTTACAGGAAGAAACAGGAGGGAAGGTACAACTCTAAACCTTGCCTAAACAGCTTTCCACATTCTCTCATGAAAGTGAAACAGAAATGGTTTTTGTAGAGTCTGGGGTGCTTGTGAAAACTGACTGTGATGCCATTGTAAAAGTTACAATATAATAATTCTTATTTTTTTAGTGAGAGCTTTCCCAATTGTATTCTTATTGTTCCAGGAAATACAGGATATCAATTTATTCCCTTTAGCGTGGAATCACAAAGGAATTTACTAAGAGTTGGGGCAGAATGATTGGCTTAAATTGCATTCTGTCTACTACCAAGATCGTTCACCCAGTGTCTTAATATGCATTGCCAGCCACTAGTAATAATGACGTTTTCTATGCCAGACAATTCCAAGAATGTGATACCTGTCTTAGGTTTAATTAGTCTTTTTTTCTTTTCTTTTCTTTTTAGTCGGAATGCATCTGAGCTTAAGGCGGCAGACATCTTAATGATTACAGTTATTTTACACAACATCTTCCCACATTCCAAACAAGCCATCCCGCTAACTCTTAACAGAACACCACCTCCCCTGGCACACCCAGTGGTCCGCAAAGGAGGGCCATCAGTGTCACATCGCATTATCAGTGGTCCATTATCACAAGGGGTTCCTTCTATGCAAGGAGAAATCTCAGGGACATCTGCTCATTCTGATCCGGTAGACATCAACACATCTTCACGGAAATATGCAAGTGTAGATGCTGAGGATGTAGGATACACTGGCTCATCAGTTGAAGATGAATTTTATTCTCCACGGTCATCACCCACTCCCTTCAGTCCTGTGGACGGTAGAGAGTCTGCATCACAGGATGTTCCAAAACCTCCCAAAGAGCATTTCTTTACTCCAAGGGCTCCTACTCCGGAGTACCTAAGGAAACTGGTAAAGATGTCATGTGAATTTTATCATAGTTAATGGAGGTGACTGGTTATGAAACCCGGCAAACATCAAAGGAGCAAACAAAGATGCCAAGATTTATGTTAGAAGGTCCTCGACCCTGCACAATCTTTTGTTTTGCGTTCATACGTTATGCATGAATTACATAACCAGCATGTTTCTATTGGTTAGTTCCTCAGTACGGAGTAAACAACTATTGTGTTTTGTGTAGGGTCAAGGCCAAAAAAGAGAACAAAAACATACAACAAAGAACTTTGTCGGGTTTCATAACCATTCCCTCTATTAACTATGATTTTATGTTATAATACTATATTACAGTCAGCTCTCTCTTAACAGACACCTCTATTAGTATAAGACAGACACATCTCTTAGATGCACCTTGGGTTGGTCCCTGTCATTTTTCAGTCATTTTACTGTAACTATAGTGACTATAAGATAGACACTTTTCTAAGACAGACAATGCACACTTTTGACACTGTCAACAGACACTTGAGAATTACTTTATGCAGTGAAAAATATCTCAAAATGGAAGTGTAGGTCCCCAGACTTCCATCTCTCACCCCGGGTCACGGCACAATATGGAATGTAGGTGCTCCGCTACCTGCAAATAAATTGCAATTTTAGGGGAACAAGTTACATAAACCAATACAGTACATGTATGTGTTTCCTGCAGCTCATATCTTGAAACCATGATCGTCATTTGTGAACACCATGTGGAGAGAAACTAACACACTGCCTTGTTAACCTGTAAAACCGTTATCTTCTCTCTGTTTTAGCTGAACTCTTTTGGCCTTTAGAACTTCAAGTAGTCCCACCAGAAACAAACCATTGTATAACAGATTAATTTTTGCATCCTTAACTAATTACAGTACTCTACTGCAGTTTGTTTTGCAGTTAAAACTTTTACTCAAAGAAGTGTGTATATGTTACTGTATTGTCATTATTTTGATGCTTTTAGACAACTAAGCCATGAGGTTGCATTGACTTGTCGTGAACATTTGATTGTAAATTGAGAAAATGATTCCACTTTTCTATTACATTATTCCAGTTTTTGCTGTTTTGTACAAGTAAAACAGATATGCATTGCAAACAGTTTAAGCTTTATTCTCTTGATATAATTACTGTTGTCACATTACCTTGACTCTGTGTAAGCCCGACACCTCTCTAAGACAGACTGTCGAGGCGGGTCCTCAAGGTGTCTGTCTTAGATAGAGTTGACAGTAATATATTTCCTTTTCCTTATATTTGAACTGTATCTGCTGACATTAACTTTAACCAAGCTGAGCAGTGCAGCTAGCAGTTAAGATAGCAAACAAGAATGTGGACAATGTCAAGTATGAAAATTATGTTTAAAAGCAAAAGCGTGAAGACTAGATAACGTGATCCACTGTCCAAAAGAACTCACCTATGAAACATCATTGTGTTCAGAGAATTAAATAGGAAAGAGTGTGAGCTTGAGAAAGTCATAACATTTTCTCAATGGCCTTTTCTCATTTGATGCCTCACTTGCAGTGCAATCTTGTGTTTTTTTTGTTTCCTTGACAACTCACCCAGGATAATTCTTGACTTGAGCCGCTAGCCTTAGAAATAATTGTATAAATGGCTAAATTTTTGAAAACACGACTTCCAAAATAGACTTGTTCTGCCATGCATTCCCTTTTTGTTCAAAAAGGTCTTCAATGTAGCTGTTGTGGTTCAATGTTATCTTTGGTTTAAATTTTTTATTTCTCTTTGTTTTGGGGTATGGTAATGTGGGATAATGAGTTTAAAACAAAGGGAAATAAAATGTAAACCAAGGATAAAATTGAACCACAACACAGCCAATATTTTTTTCTCTTCTTACCCTCGCATTCCTCTAGTGTTTTCTCTTTTGTTTCCTCTCGTTTTCCTTCGGTAGTGTGATTTTCAGGCCCATTGGATGCAAGAAACTTAATTCTTTGGCCTTTTTTTCGGCAACTTCCTGCGAGTTTTGGTAGTTGCAAAAATCCAGCCAGATGATAATGCATTACATGTACTCTTTCTCTTTCATCATTGTTAAGGTTGAAGAAGAAGCAGAGGGTGAAACAGATGAAGAAGAACCTGACTCACACAGCTCAGACAGGCAGCATGAGTATTACCGCCAGCCAGTTTACTTAAGCTCAGACAAGTGCCCTTATTTGCCACATGTTCTCCACTTTGTTCGTCTTGGCACTGGAACTGTGTTAGTCCTTGTGAGTGAGGTAGGCAATTAGTTATGGAAACCCAGAGCTGGGGCAGTCCCTTATTAAAGCTATATNTTTTGTTTCCTTGACAACTCACCCAGGATAATTCTTGACTTGAGCCGCTAGCCTTAGAAATAATTGTATAAATGGCTAAATTTTTGAAAACACGACTTCCAAAATAGACTTGTTCTGCCATGCATTCCCTTTTTGTTCAAAAAGGTCTTCAATGTAGCTGTTGTGGTTCAATGTTATCTTTGGTTTAAATTTTTTATTTCTCTTTGTTTTGGGGTATGGTAATGTGGGATAATGAGTTTAAAACAAAGGGAAATAAAATGTAAACCAAGGATAAAATTGAACCACAACACAGCCAATATTTTTTTCTCTTCTTACCCTCGCATTCCTCTAGTGTTTTCTCTTTTGTTTCCTCTCGTTTTCCTTCGGTAGTGTGATTTTCAGGCCCATTGGATGCAAGAAACTTAATTCTTTGGCCTTTTTTTCGGCAACTTCCTGCGAGTTTTGGTAGTTGCAAAAATCCAGCCAGATGATAATGCATTACATGTACTCTTTCTCTTTCATCATTGTTAAGGTTGAAGAAGAAGCAGAGGGTGAAACAGATGAAGAAGAACCTGACTCACACAGCTCAGACAGGCAGCATGAGTATTACCGCCAGCCAGTTTACTTAAGCTCAGACAAGTGCCCTTATTTGCCACATGTTCTCCACTTTGTTCGTCTTGGCACTGGAACTGTGTTAGTCCTTGTGAGTGAGGTAGGCAATTAGTTATGGAAACCCAGAGCTGGGGCAGTCCCTTATTAAAGCTATATAGGTTTGGCAGCCAAAAAGGGTACCGCTTTGGTATTTGGCACCATTTTTGGGTTGGGAATTAGGTATAGGTCATTCTTACCTGTTTTAGTCTGAAGAAGGGAACGTTTTTGTGCTCTCTGGAACCGGGTCTGGCAATTGGGTAGGTTCTTAGAAAATCCCATATTTTGGTCTGTAATTGGGTAATGGTTACAGGAAGCATGCCCACAGATGAGTGATCCATCTTCTAGTTGGTAAATTGTAGATGAAGGTGGTTTGGTTCTCTTCTCTCTGCTGGTTTGTCGTTTTGTGAGAGTGAAATGTGCTTCATGTTACCTCTCAACCAGGCGTTTAACGGGGTATCAATAAACCCAAAGGGAAATACTTTCTTATCAAAGAGGACACTAATACTTCTTGATGTTCTCGTTGTGCCTGTGGTGAAGTATAATTATATTTATACTGCTTATTAAGATGTTTATGACGTTTTGCAGTGACCTCAAAATCTTCATTCCTGTTTTTCTTATTTGGGCAATCCCACGTGAATCTCCCGGAATTAAAAAAGGGCTCTGAAAAAGCTATACGTTATTATGCTTGTAGGAGCTGATCACTTTAATTTGCTTGCTTTTTAACTGTTTGTTCTCACATTTTCTCTGGTTGACAGACAAAACAGTCTAATGTGGCATCGTTCATCTACCAAGCTTTACAATCCTTGGCTAGCATCAAGCCATCTGAAGATCAGGGCCAGCGAACTGCACATCAAGCTCAAACTCTTTTAGAGAAACTGGAAGCTTCAGTTAGGAGAGTTCTAGAGCCCATAAGAACCGCTGTTGGGGTAGGGATGCAAATAATTTTTCTATTTTGAAAGAACATATGTCCGGCTTAGTCACCATTTTGGTCGGGAAAAACTGTAGTCGGATCGATGACAGACAGATTACATGTCATTAGTATTGTGCATGTAAGGCGCTGGGTTCATAAGTTGACTGATTAACCCATCCATAATTTCATTAAAGAAATCGTTTAAAGTTTTTTTTTTTTTTTTTTACAATAATTCACATGTTCCATCTGCAAAATAATAGTCTTACCTGTTAGCTTCATCCCGATAACATAACTGACGACAATGAGTCGGAAGATGACTACCCTGCAGGTTGTCGAAATGTCAGTCACTGTCGACAACAGTCATATTCATGACCACGATCACCGGGACGATCATGGTCCATCTTCTTATAACTGACGACAGTTTAGACTTCATTGGATGTTGTCCTTTTTACCGAATGTCATTTGTAGTTCTGCGAAATGAGACTGCGTTGTTTCCCTTCTTTCTTGTTGTGGGTTACGTCACGCCACGTAAATTTCGCTGTCAAAGGTCTTTGTGCTCTTTTGCCAGTAAAGGCTGGTCCTCATACGATTTCTACGATCGATGAAAAAAAGTTCGCTGACTGTTACGGTTATGATATGGAAACACAAGAGAGAATAAGCATTCTCTCTTGGGAAACAACATTAGCAGCAACAAACGCTGAGATGGCTAGGCTCATTGCCTTAATAATTATATTTAAAAGCTGCGATCAATGAGATCGCGACTATCGTTGAACACTTTCAACAATTCTAGAGATTTTATGGAAACCAGGCCTAAAAGGACAAGAATCATAATGCTGCAGTCCTTTCTCGGAGATGAAATTGTTCACCGATTATGGGTGCAGTTATACTATAACTGTGCTTAAACCAGGGCGTGCCGAGAAAAAGTAAATTAAGTGGTATGAAAAGGGCGATCTACCGTCTTTTTGGCGAGCCCGGTCAGTGTAAAGCTTAGGGTTACGGTAATTGGTTTCGCTCACTTCACATTGGCGGTGTGTTTTGTGAGAATACAAATGTGCTTTCTTTGACACCTAGGCATTTGAGGGGGTACTGGTAAACCCAAATGGGAAAGGACACTAATATATTTTGATACTTCAGGCGTGCCAGTAGTGTAATAGTATTATACCGCTCTTTAAGGTGTTAATGAGAAACCTTCGTGCCCTTTTTTTGTGTTAACAAAATATCCTTTATCTATTTAACATTATATAGAAAATTTTCCAACACTCACAGCAAAATTTAAGAGAACAAAAAATATTTCTCCCGAATCGCTCGAACTTCATCAGCGATGTGAAGTGCCAGGTTGTGTAACACACAGGTTGTTACGTATCCCCATGAGAGAATTGTAAATGGCGGGTAGGTCCAGTCCCTCGTCCCTATTCGGAGAGCGTTTTCTTTGTTTGATAGCAATGGTCTCCTTGACGCGGTGCTTTATGGTGTTACTTTTCTTCGGATAGTACTTTTGCATTGTGTGGGTTGATATTATGACCCGTAGCATGACAGTGCTCGAAATCGGCAGAAGTTTCACGGGACTGGTGTTCTTCGATCCGGGTGCTTCACGTCACATCGCTGATGAAGGTCGAGTGATTCGGACAAAATATTTGTTTTTTGTCTCAAATTTCGCTCTGAGGACTTGGAATTTTCTATACCAAATGTCTTCGCCATAACAGGTGAAAAACCAATTTGGTAACATCCTTTACCTAGGTTGCTGTCGAAAATCAAATTCGGAACCTGCGTTATCGCTGGGAGTTGGTTAAAAGAGGTGATTTATTAAGCTTTATGATGGCTCCAGTCGGCACAGAGATGTCCCCCCAGCTGGAAGCATCCGTTAATGAAATGACGCGCTGCCTTAAGTCACTCTTCAGCGTCATGTTTTGTACGAGCAGGGGTGAGCCGTCCATCAGTGAACAACAATTGGCGACCATCTCACAGATCAAAGGAATGCTACAATTTCAGCTGGCCGATTTTGAGGATTACTTGCTGGTAAAAGGACAAAGAAATGTTACAATGACTGCGTATCCTTTTTTTCTCAGAACTGCGTCGGCGTTTGTTTTCTCATGATTCGCAACGGCTTTTCTGCGCTTGATTTCCCGGCCTTGGAGCCACTTGCGTCTTTATACTTTCTCCATGTAATTAGTTTATTTATTTTTGTCAGAATCTTTACTTTTGCTATGATTGGCTACGGAATACATCTTAAACGGTGATTTGCTGTTTTCAAAATTATCATATCTATAAGATGTCGGTAAAGGAAATCTTGCGCCGTGGTTAGCTACCCTGGAGAGCAAGATGAAGCTATCTTTCCTGCATGGGATTTCCCCTATTTTTTTTCGTAGGGGAATAGTTCTTGAAGATGGCGCACAAGTTCGTGACTTGAATCAGAGTTTTTTCTAGGGAAAAATAATTATGGAACAAAGCCCAAAAAACTTAGACTAATTTTTTTTTTGATAAAGTCATTTCATACGTCATAAAGTCCTATCTAACAGTTTTTTTTAGACTACTTTGATGTGTGGATGCTCGTAAGAGCAGACGCATAAACGCATCCTCCCAGACAAACGTCCACGTATTTTTGGATGCGTTTTGCCTGCATCTTTTGGTTTGTCATCTCTGTCTTTTTATGCAATCCCGTTTACATTGCTTAGCAATTATCAGTTATCTTGAAGACTTTCCTGGTTTGGTTCATTTCATTTATGTGGACCGCAGCAGTGACCAAGTAACCGCTCCTTCTATTAACACCACACCAAGCAAAATCCGGGACACTTCCGATCCCTGCTACGTCATCAAACAGAAAATATGGGATATGTGGGTTTACATTCATTCTTATTTACTCCTTGGTAAGTCAAATGTAATCAGATGTTGTGTTCTCGCGTTTTTTCCAAATAATAACCAGGGATTTTATTCTTTCTATATAAATGCATGGTTACGGGCAATGTCACGGGATGTGTTAGCATGAGAGTAACACGATTTGCGCATGAAAGCAGTAAGGTTTTTAACATAGCAAGGTCACCTCCAGCCTCGCTTCTATTCAAAGGCCAGGGCACTAAGCACACAACTGTAAAATGGCCTTTTTTTGGTGTCTTTAGTTTGCCATAGACGCTTTGGAAATGTCATGAACCCATTTAGGCCCGCCAAAACAAATAGGAAAGTCAGAACTCTCCAGGGCATTCTAATGTTACAAATAAATGTGTTTGGTATGTGCTATCTATTATATTCTAACGGAATATGAAAATTCCAATATATTTCTGTAACACAGCATATCCATTTTCCAGGTCACACTTTCATAGCAGTACGTGACGGAGACTTTCTGTTTACATATTGTCTTTGGTTTGAAGACTCATCCGGGAATCCTGTCGTACTGCATTGTCCTCTTCCAGTCCTTTACGGTTCGCCTCCTCCGGGAATTCTTTCCACATCATTTTACAAGTAAGTCGTCATTGGGTAAAGGCCGCTATGTGGTAGACAAAGGCATACTTTATGGTCACGCAGGGTGCGCGATGCCTCTCAACGTGATCGCCACGAAGAATGGCTTCGAAGCAAACTGCACAAGAATTTCTAGATTGCTGTCAGTGTAATAATGTTTTACTTGAGAAGTGTTGCCATAACAGAAAAGTTTAAAAGGAAGGACCTTTTGAACTTGTGGACTTCGATTTCAATCAAACTGGTAAATATGAAGCGAAACCTTCTGTCTTTCTTCAGGTTTGACGGCTATTTCTATTTGTTGCAGAATAAAAGACCGAGATGGTGACTAGCCATCAAACCCACTGAAAAACCGGGTACTACCGAAATTCATACCCAGGAAAATTTCTACGGGAGGCTAGATCTCGCCTCTACCATACCCTTAAATTCTGTAATTAAAAGAAATAGCTTCTTTGTATCAAACCCAATGAAGAACCACTGGCATTCATATCTGGGAAAGTGTGTATGCAGGCAGGAGCTCCCTATGCATCATACCCCAATTCTGTACTGTGTATAACGGAAGCTGTAAAACCCTCTAAAGGGCCACCGGCATTCATAACCAGCGAAGTGTCTACGGCAGGCAGGAGCTCCCTATTCGCGATACCCCCAATTGTGTACTTCGTAAAGAAAACTGTAAAATCCTGTAAAGGGCCACCGGCATTCTTAACCGGCGAAGTGTCTACAGCAGACAGGAGCTCCCTATGCGCGATATCCCAATATTTTATTGTGTACTTCATGAAGAAAGCTGTAAAATCGTGTAAAGGACCACCGGCATTCTTAACCGGCGAAGTGTCTACAGCAGACAGGAGCTCCCTATGTGCGATATCCCAATATTATATTGTGTACTTCATAAAGAAAGCTGTAAAATCCTGTAAAGGACCACCGGCATTCTTAACCGGCGAAGTGTCTACAGCAGACAGGAGCTCCCTATGCGCGATATCCCAATATTTTATTGTGTACTTCATAAAGAAAGCTGTAAAATCCTGTAAAGGACCACCGGCATTCTTAACCGGCGAAGTGTCTACAGCAGACAGGAGCTCCCTATGCGCGATACCCCAATATTTTATTGTGTACTTCATAAAAAAAGCTGTAAAATCCTGTAAAGGACCACCGGCATTCGTACCCGGCGAAGTGTCTACAGCAGACAGGAGCTCCCTATGCGCGATACCCCAATATTTTATTGTGTACTTCATAAAGAAAGCTGTAAAATCCTGTAAAGGACCATCGGCATTCATACCCGGCGAAGTGTCTACAGCAGACAGGAGCTCCCTATGTGCGATATCCCAATATTTTATTGTGTACTTCATAAAGAAAGCTGTAAAATCCTGTAGAGGACCATCGGCATTCTTAACCGGCGAAGTGTCTACAGCAGGCAGGAGCTCCCTATGCGCGATATCCCAATTATGTACTTCATACAGAAAACTGTAAAGGGCCACCGGCATTCATACCCGGCGAAGTGTCTACGGCAGGCAGGAGCTCCCTATGTGTCATATCCCAATTGTGTACTTCATAAAAAAAAGCCGTAAAATTCTGTAAAGGACCACCGGGATTCATACCCGGGAAAGTGGCCTCGGGTGGTGGGAGCTCCCTTTGACCCTTTAATCCGTAGCAGCCAATTAGTTGTCCTCAGCGGTAGGTGGTACGTGAGAGCCAAGCTTGATAAGAACATCCAGTTTGATCTTCCTTTTTTATGACGGCCAGAGCTCAGAGACATTCATTGTTGCAGTTTAGAATTGTGCCTTCAAGGAAATAAGACAGATTTGATAAGGATGAAAATGTACGATAATAATTAAAGAAAACTCGAGGTGGGCCTGGTCGGCGCGCTCCCTTTTGTTTCGTGCTAATAACTCCAGGGGAAAAAGCAAGTAAAGGATTTACTTCAAAGATGCATCTTCATTTTAAGGTAACCAGATTTTCCTTTGGTCTTTAATATATAAATTAATTTTTTTTTCACTTTCTATGAAGTGACGTAAGTAAGTTGTAAAATTCTTTGTCGCCTTTTTGGGGTTATTCACTGAAACTTATCAATCGCTTATCAATAATTAAGCCAATAGGCCAGTAGTAACTCAGACTTTTATTTACCAATGAATGATTTTTTTTTTTTTACCGCTGTTTGCCACAATGTTCTTGCCTTGCCTAGTCTCTAGCTAGGCCTCATTATTTCGGGCGGCCAATCTACATCCTGTCAGGGTACCACGACTGTAAATCTCCGCATAAGGTGTCGTACCGTCAGGGTTGTATTAGCCAACTAATACAACAGATACAAGGCGGTATAACTCCCAGTCCAACTCAATGCTCCATAACTTCAGATAGGTCTGATACCCCTGGGAAGGCTAGTATTATTGCTCAACCAGAACGAAAGCCATGTAAACGTCTCACCATCATCACCACCTGTCATTTACCCGAGATGAAGCCGTCATCCTTTGAACGTGGGTATTGGCCTTTACAGGACGAGCAATGAATTAAATCTCTTGCCGTTTCAACATCCTTTTTTTGTCTTCATGAAAGGACAGATGTTCGTTTCAGGATTTCTACGAACATCAAGAAATATATTTTGTAACGTTTTGTTACCTTCACAAGAGTATGCATATTAGGTTGCATACCGCACAAGTGTTTGAGGAGTGCTTGTAAAAGGTCTCCGGAAAGGGGCTAGTACACTATTTGAGGTTTGTTAAGCTATGCAAGAGCCATTCGAAACATCTCTTTCAACCCTAAATTTTTTATTTTATTTACTGTTGTAATTTTCCCTGAGTTAGTAAAACTGTAACGCTGTTTTTTATAACCTCGCCTCAGCCCTTTGTAAACATCCAGCTTGAGCCGAAGGAGTTAATGTCATAGTTAATTTTTTATCTCAGTTAATTTTTATTCTTCTTTAGTTTCAACATCATTAGCACACATTACCATACAAGCCCTCGAGCAAAAGCGGAAAGAAAACAAACGCATTTTGCCTTTTGTAACCCAATTTTCTTTTCTGTGCCTAACTTGAAACAAATTCTTATGAGCAAATTGCATTTGATTACTAACCAATCATTACTTAAAGAAATATTTGAGGAGCCTCCATTAATATCATACAAGAAAGGGCGGTCTTTACAGGATATACTCGTAAGAGTAAATCTGTCATAACGGCTAAAACACGAGCGAGGGAGTCGCGCAGGCTTGTCACCCCCATTTTACACTGTATTTGTAGTAGCTCAACCAATCAGAACCAATAGACCATTAGTTTGATTTTACTAATATCCTATATTAAAGCAATCGAAGTGCACCAGAACAGAATTTCTTGTTAATATGAATCAGAATTTGTTTATGTGAGGTAATTTTAGACGATCCGATTGAGATTTATAAGCGGAGCCTCAAACTATGTTGCTTGTTGTAACTTAAGGTAGGAAGGATTAGCGAACGGTATAATCCTTGTAAGGATTTTGACGATAAATAGAAGCCTAATTCGTGAATTATTCCAATAGACTTCGAGACTTAAATAACCGGCCACATGAAACTAGGAACTTTCGGTTTTCAGGTAAAATTTTCAACAGTGATCACTTCATCTTTATGGCGGGTTTAACAATACATTCAATTCATTAGTCAGTGGATCAACCAAACAACTCCGGGTATTTGCTAGACAGAAAGAAAAACGTTATCAACAGCAAATAAAATCAGTTGTAACATCATAGTTGATAATAGTTGATATGGTGAGATGGTTATCAAGCCTGTCAGATGTCTTTGTTACACAGGGAGGTCTGCTGTGATTGGTCTACAATTTTTTTAGTCGCTCAAATTAAATTAGCAGACGTTAGTGGGGCAGGAACGCAGGACGAATCCCCTAGGAACGTCTGCGTGGGAGGCTACTGGTTTCATTGCACAACCGCTGATAGGGGAGACATATGATTTTCAAAAAAATCACTAGAATACGTATCTCACAAACCCTCCCGAAACTCGGTGCTGCACACAACACTTCAAGTGCTGCCGGTTGCGGTTAGAAACTGGTCGGACCAGCGGCGAATAACCTGTCGTGAGGCCTCCTACTTCTTCGCTTTTTGTTTGATTGTTCTATTTGATTCATAAATGCGTATATTTCAAAGCATATTTAGCATCATTTCGTTGCCGGATGGAAATAAGGCATCTTATTTTTTTCCAAGCTTACGAGCGGGCGGAATCCTCCAAATCCTGCAATCTGATTGGTTCCGAGAGCGGGCGGTATTTTACGATCTTGCCAGCTAACCCGGGCGGAATCGTTGGCAGCTTCATTCACAAGTTTGTTTGTTGTTTGTGAATGAGCAAAAACCGTCATTTTCAAAAAATTTTTCTCTTAAAACTTGCGCTATTATTAGCATTAGCTAGGGTAAAGGGAATTTTATTATTCAGACAAAAAATCTGAAGGGAGAATAAAGCAAGCCAGCCAGCTAAAGTAAAGCAAAACACGTGGCTCGTGATGTCGCTTCACTAGCTTTATAACCGCGCTTTAAGTACTGCAATCTTGCTTTTATGCACCGTTTATTGAACATTTTTGCTCTGTTCGTAGTTTTGTTTTCCATTTTTGCTGTATGAATCTAGATTCTACCGTTTTTCATTGAATTTTGCCTCGCTAGTTTTCTACTTATCAGAAAAGGTTGTTATCAATGATTGCATTTAACTTTCAATCTTAAATCATTTTTCCAGCAGTCGGTTATCGCCTTTTTCATTTCTTTGTTTATAACTTGTTACCCACATCGCCTTCTTTTATTAGAATTCAATTCAAAACCTTAAAATTGGTATTTGTAATTAGCTATGTTTACAAAGCCTTCGTGCAGTTTTCATCCCGCTCGATTGAACTAATCTTAAAGCAATTTTTTAAGATTCAGCCGAAGAAAATCCTTGCTGTATTTTTTTCCTGGCGCTTTTAATGTCAAGCTCGTCAATTCTTTTATCCTTGTTTAACACTCAGATTATGAATTGTCTAGCAAGACACAAAAACCTTTCTTCATTCTAGAAGAGAGC